ACACCATACAATGATGGTTCTTGACTTACAAGAGCAATATGCTCTCGAAGATTGTTCACATTCATTTTAACAATATCAATTTCATCAATTGTAATTGTACCACTTGTTGCTTCTTAAAATCTTTCAGCAAGACTTATTATTGTACTTTTACCACATACCGATGAACCTACTAATGCTGCATATTGACCAGGTTTGATCTTCAAATTTAAACCTTGGAGAACTGAAACGTTATGTCGAGTCGATAATAAAAATGAACATTAGAGGATTTAAGGTGACCTTTAACAGTTTTAACCACTTCACCATTTTGACGCCATGTATCAATTATAGGAACACGTTCTAATAATGAAATTATAGTAGCAGTTGCAGATTTTGCTTTGGCAATATCTGGAGTATAAGCAAAGGCACAATCAGCAGACATTGATCCAACTACAATTGCCATATAAACCGTAAACATTTTTACAAGATCAATTTCATTGCTCATAAACAATCAACTTCCATACCAAAATGATATAGAATTTACTAAATAGATGACACCATTTGAGAAACCAAAGAAAGTGGATGCCAAATAAGCGAATGATGATATATTTTCCATAAATCATCTTCATGAGTAAGAGCAGCGACTGTTCGGATATTATTAGCACCTTCACAAGCTATTTGCGTAGAATCTTCATAAGCTTTTTTTGGTTTTTTGTTGGAAACCACTTAATATTTTTATATGCAATGCACTAGAACCAGTACAATCAGCTCCTCCTAAATTCAACACTTTTTTTAATGTACTCTATTTATTCTGTAAGTGCTAATGTTTGCCATTTAAAAATACTCCACCATAAATGAATCCACGTGATTTTTAGTCAAACAAATTATCGTTAATCTGCATAAATTTTTGCTGTTTTGTGTGTAACCGTGTTAACCGACTGTATAAATTCATTATTTCTGCAGTAAATAAATTAGCAATTTACAGTTAATTGGTTATTGATCTCAGCTGTAATAATTCATGAGTTAATTTATAATTTCGTAATAGGTGAGTTAATGATTCATTATTTTAACAATACATGGTTAATGAAGAGAATTACGCTTATGTGGCGTCCCATAGAAAAGGAAAAGAAGAAATTTATTATTTTAGCAGTTGAGTTAGTGCTCTGCAAAATCAGACAAATCTTGATTTTAAGTTTTTGAATATATCGATTACGGTATTGTGCTTTTAATTACAAAATCTATTTTTACTCTAATCTGACTTTAAACTTCAAGATAAGTTACATGAAGTCTAAAGTAAGATAGGATTCCTGTTAGATTTATATATTTACTAAAAATAAAGTTTGTATTGAGTTTGTATTTAATTGCCCAATATTGTAAATTGACAGATTCAAAAACTTGAAAATTAGGTTTTTGCTTGATTTTTCCGTGCACTAGTAGGAGTTTACAATTTTAATAGTAAATGATGAGTTTAACAGTGGGTTCATGATTTCAATAACTGGTGCTTATTATTCAATGTACATTTTAAGTTAGTTTTGTAATAATATAAATACTTAAAAATTGTTTTTCTGAAAATAAAGTAGCATTTGGCTATGACAAATAAGTCTAGCTGATTAATTTTACACCATTTCTTGACGTATCATTACGTGAATTTAAATTTCAAAATTAGAAAATAATATCATTTACGATCAAAATATTTAGGGGCCCATTTACTCTTGTTATTTATGAGAAAAAAACCTCCGTGAAGCTTATCTCCTTTATATGCGCATTTTAAAAAATTTCTATGTGCCTAACTGTGATTATATGGAAGAATCACTGTAGTAAACGTGGTGTATGTCGTTTAAAATTAACTTGATATTTTGCTCTTCTTGAAGAATCATTAGAATTTAATGATTTAGATTCGAAGTTTAAGACTATAATATGAGCAAAATATGTTTGTTTTTATGGTGATCCATCTATTGTGAATTCATGATGCATAGGAATATATTATTATGTGTATTTTTTATTTGACATAAATTTAATATTCATTTGAATACATTCATAAATTATGGGTACGAAATAAATTTGCAGTTACATTCCGGACAATCAAACAAGTATCAATAAAAAATTGGTAACAAATAAGGTTCATTAAACCATTTAATTGGCCTTGTGTATTTGATAAATGCATGATTAGGATCATACTCATAAGTGGGTTCGCAATTATCACAGAGATTGAAATCTTTGCAATGTCCACACTACACATTATTAAATTTATAAAGAAATAGAAATTAAAAGGTGGTATAAAGGATAATTTTACTATTAAAGTTTACAGTACCTTGTATTTGACACAATTCATGAGAGATTTATGGCAATTGTCACAATAAATTTCACCTGTTTATATAAGTATGTTTAGCTATAATCGAATGTAGTAACAGTGAATAACTTTTAAATAATATTTACCTAGAGTCATGGATTCATTAGTATGAAAGTGAGATCTATAAATTTTATTATGTATCGGCCATTTAATCTTTATAAATGCATGAGTTGCATCATGTTTGCAATGGGATTCGCACTCTTTGCAGAGATCAAAATTTTCACAATACATGCACTTTAATTAAAAGAAATTTTTAAAAATATAAGGAAGCCATCGTTCTAAAATAGAAATCATAAACATTTGAAATTTTTTGTACCTTAAATCTAGTACCGAATATGATTTTTTCACAATTGTCACAATAAGCAAAATGTTTCTTATCTGCAGATTTTTGGTAATAAGCGGAAGCCATGTTTTCATTCTTTTCGATTCCAATTCCATTTTTATAGCAATATCCAAGATTATATATACTGCCAGCATGTCCCATCTCTGCGGACTTTTGATAATGAATGAATGCCTCATGTTCATCCTTTTCAACTCCAATTCCATTTCGATAGCAATTACCAATTACGAATATTCCCTTAACATTCCCTAAGTTCGCAGATTTCTGAAAATTAACAAGAGCCTTATGTTCATCTTTTCCGGTTCCAATTCCATCATAATAACAAATGCCAACTTGAAATATTCTATCAGAAATACTGAAATCTGCCATTTGCTCATCTTTTCCAACTTCAATTCCATCAAGATAATAACAGCCTACATTAATTTCTGCAGATTTCTGGTAATAAATAAATGCCTTATGTTCGTCCTTTTCAACACCAATTCCATCTTGATAACAATTTCCAACCTGGAAAGTTCCTTCAGCATGCCCCATATCTGCAGATTTTTGATAGTAAATGAATGCCTTATGCTCATCCTTTTCAACTCCAATTCCATCAAGTAACAACAGCCGACATTATATGTTCCATAAGCGTTTTCTATTTCTGCAGATTTTTGATAGTAAATGAATGCCTCATGTTCATCCTTTTCAACACCAATTCCATGATGATAACAATTTCCAACATTATTCATTCCGTTAGCGTCCCCTATCTCTGCAGACTTTTGAAAATAAATAAAAGCCTTATGCCCATCTTTTTTGACACCATTTCCAAATAAATAACATGTTCCAAGATTGTTCATTCCGTTAGAATCCCCCATGTCTGCAGATTTTTGATAGTAAATGAATGCCTTATGTTCATCCTTTTCAACTCCAATTCCATGATAATAACAAAATCCAGCATTATATGTTCCATAGGCGTCCCCCATCTCTGCTGATTTTTGATAGTAAATGAATGCTATATTCATCTTTTTTAATTCCAAACCCATAAAGATAACAATTTCCAACATTATATGTTCCGTAGGCGTTCCCCATCTCTGCGGATTTTTTATAATAGGCAAATGCTTTATGTTCATCCTTTTCAATTCCAATTCCATTTCTACAACAATGACCAACATTATATGTTCCAGAAGCGTTCCCCATCTCTGCAGATTTTTGATAGTAAAAGAATGCCTTATGCTCATCCTTTTCAATTCCAATTCCGATACGATAACAATTTCCAGTATTATATGTTCCATAGGCGTTCCCCATCTCTCCTGATTTTTGACAGTAAATGAATGCCTTACGTTCGTCCTTTTCAACTCCAATTCCACTATGATAACAACATCCAACATTAAACGTTCCATCAGCGTTACCCATCTCTTCAGATTTTTTAAAATAAATGAATGCCTTATGTTCATATCTTTTGACTCCATATCCAAACAAATAACATTTTCCAAGATTGTTCATTCCTACAGGATTCTCCATATCAGCATATTTTCGATAATAGAGGAACTCCTCAAACAGATCATCTTCAAGATCAGATACATATACATGCATGAACCTAGTAAATTCATCTGTTTCGTGATTATCCTTAACATTTGAAATTTCCATGCGCATTAAACTTTCGCTGTTTGTTTGCTTATATTGATAATCTTTATTAACGTAAATACATGTACCTAATCATTAATATATTAAAAAACATTATTTATCATAGCTGCATCTTCCGCACCAACTAAAATAAGCACATGAAAAATCATATAGATGGTGTAGGTCGAGATTTGAGACGCGGAAAAATATCGATTTGATTTGAAGTTTTACCTTAGCGTTAGGTTCTATTTTCCGATCAATTATATGTTTTTTGTTATCCAGCTAACACACTAGTCATTTGTATTGAGTTAACAATATGCCTATCTAAATTTTTTCTGCTATGTTAGCTGGCCAAATTTATATTATCTAGCTCAAATTATGTTCTATTTTAATTCTGACCACATAGTATGGAAACAAATTTGTAAAATATCAACTTGCTCATAATTTGATCCAGAATTATTGTTTTATATTGACCTTAATAAATCGATATTTTTCTACATCCTTGGTCGGATACAATAACAATTACACAATTACCTATTGTATTTTTATAATCTTTCTTGAACCCAACTTCATCTAGCCAAACCGTATTTAATTAACTTTTATTAAATAACTTCGTTTAAATTATAAACCGAATAGAATATTAACTACCTTGATTGCTATATTGCTTATCAAAATCTATGATGTCTATATTTTCGGTCGATAAAGGGCTGAAAAAAATTGCTATATGATGATTTAATTAACTTTAATTTTTTGTTCAGATTGATTAACTTTATGAAAATATAAACGATAATTACCTAAATTGCTATATTGCTTATCAGAATCTACGATATTTCTGATATTTTCGGTCGATAAAGGGCTAAAATAAATTACTTCATGATGTTCCTTTACGCAAGATGGTGCTGATATGCTGGACAGTAATCTTTTGTCAGCTTTTTTTATTTGTGCAAATAATTCGGTTGAGTTATCACTTAAATCCTTGATCCACATATTTATATTATCACATATTGCTCTAGAAGTTGGCCTTCTTTTTGGATCAGCATCCCAACAGTTTATGATTAAATCAGCAATTAGTTTTGGCACATTTGATGGAATTGTTAGACGTAAATTATTGAAAACAATTCCTTGTGATAGATCTTTATCTGAAATATCATGATAATCTTGGGATGCTAATACTATTTCTCCTGATACTATTTCATATGTTATAATTCCAAAGGAATACACATCAGACGCTGTAGTACACGGTTTTTTGTCTATTATTTCAGGCGCTATATATAGTAAGATGCCATAGATATTGTCATTTGATGTTGTATTAGCTAATGTTGAAATTCCTAAGTCTGCGATATATGCACTCCTAAGGCTATCTTGTAGTATATTTCCGCTATGCAAATCTCTATGAATTAAGTTTTGAAAATGAATTATATCTAGGTCAGAAGCAATACAACTTAACAGATTCAATTTATATTCCCATTTTAATTGTGCTATGAGATAGAGATTTTCACGTAAAGAGCCAAGTTTTGCATATTGCATAACAAGTATATAATTTTCAGAAACATCTTTTGAAATGCCGTAGCATTTTAGAAAAGAAGGATTGTTAAGATTACTATATGCTTTCAACTTCAATGAAAAAAACACTTTAGTTAGTTTATCAAAAATAATGAATTTAATATATTAAAATTTATTGTTATATAATAATTTAAAAATCACCTCTTTTATGAAATTATTTTTGGAATTACTCTTTGGTCTATCAAATATTTTAAGTGCAACTCTTTCATTTGAAACTTGCAAGCAACCATATTCATTTAGAAATTTAAATTTCCGATTAGCAGAAAATACAGTTGCAAATCCGCCCTTTCCTATTGGTCTAATATTATCAAATTCGTTATAAGGAATCCATAATAAGTCCTTATTATCTTGCAGCATTCTTTTTATTTCATCGTCAATGCTAAAATTATTATTCACCACTTCATTTATGTCTAAAATAATAAACAGAATTTCAGTTAATTAGTTTTTTTTTTTTTACAATAAAACGGATAAATAAATTGAAAAAATAACCTAATAGTGGTCTTATTTTCTTAGCACTAAGTCATTATTAAACGAATAAACATAAATTAGTTAGATCTTGAAATTTTATATAATAACTAATACAGGTACTGTTTTTATAAAAACATTTTTAATTTTCAAATTTCAATACAGAAATAATTCCGATAATCATATACTGCTATTAATTTTCTTTAGATTGAAAAAATACTTACTTTTCGATTTTTTGTAAATTTCTTTTTACACCATCACCATTCCTATAACAATCAACAACTCTAGACATACCACTTAAACTTCCCATCTCAGCTGATTTTTGAAAATAATCAAATCCTCTTTGCTTGTTTTTCCTAACTCCAATTCCTTTAAAATAACATTCTCCTAGACAATAAGTTCCAATTGCGTCACCCAATTCAGCTGCTTTTTGTAAATGAATGAATGCCATATATTTATTCACCACATCACCATTTGCATAATGAACGCCAAGATTGATTAATCCCCTAGCATTGTTCATTTCAGCAAATTTTTGATAATACTCTAATGCTTTATTTTTATCTTTTCCAACTCCTAATCCGTGTTCATAACAAAAACCAAGATTGGATATTGCGCCGGCATGGCCCATATCAGCAGATTTTTTATAAAATTCAAATCCCTCATATTCATCTTTTTTAACTGCAATTCCATTCATATAAAAATTCCCAAGATTATTTATCGCATCAGAACATCCCATTTCTGCAGATTTTTGATAATAAACGAGTGCCTTATGTTCGTTCTTTTCAGTACCTATCCCTAAATAATAGCAATCACCAAGATAATTAGTTCCGTAAGAACATCCCATCTTAGCTGATTTTTGAAAATATTCAAATGACATATATTTATCTTTTTTAACACCAATTCCATTTCGATAACAACATGCAACCTTCATTGTTCCATTAGCATTACCCATCTCAGCTGATTTTTGAAAATAAATAAATGCCATATGTTCGTCTTTTTCAACACCAATTCCATCCTGATAACAATTTCCAACCTGTAACGCTCCTTCAGCATGCCCCATATCTGCAGATTTTTGGTAATAAATAAATGCTTTATGTTCGTCTTTTTCAATTCCAATTCCTAAGTGATAATAACAGCCAACTATAAATGCAATAAATGCACTCACTTTATTACCCATATCGGCAAATTTTTTATAATAAATAAATGCCTTATGTTCATCCTTTTCAAT